CGTCCATTCTCCCTCCTCATCTTCTCTAATTCCTCCGTTAAAAATCGCCCATCCATGCTTCTCCAAAAATCTGCATAACTTTCTTTCCTCCCCGTTTACCTTGCCAACTTTTGTTCTTCTTTCCCCTTCTCCTCTCTTTTCCTCTCCCTCTTCTACGAATCCCCCCTCTTTCCCCGTCCTTGCGTTAAAATCCCCCCTATCAGCACACTCACTCCCGTCTCTACCTCCTCCTCCACCCCTTACTTTAGGTCTAACAATTTCCTGTCCATATCTTATTTATATACACTCCTACTATGTTCCACCACTTCTTCCCTAACCTCACCCTTATCGATAGCATCCCTTCTTTATTTTTTTTTGTCCTTCCTTTTTCCATTTTGACCCTTACCCTCACCCCTACTATTATTCCTCCTACCGCCCTTCCTTTCCGATTCTTTCTCCCTGCTTTCTGCACTTCCCACACGTAACCTCTCGGCAGCCTTTCCTTTATCTTTTCTCATCCCTTACCATCCACCCACTTCTCACATAACACCATTACATCCCATTCCTCCAGCCCCTTCCAAAACTCTTTATCTTTATTTGTTAATCCCGCCACATTCCAAAAAGCCATGTTATATATTCTCCTTCTCTCCTCTCTCTCTCTTTCTCTCTCTCTCCTCTCTCCCTCCTCCACCTCTTTCTTTCCAAATCTTCTCTCTAATTCCTCCCTCTTGTCCTTCTCATTCTCTACTCTTTTTTCATCCACCCGTTCCCTCTTTCTTTTCTACTCAACCTACTTTTGCACTTCCTCTCTTTTACTTTCCTTCCCTTTCCCTTGCCCTGCTTCCCAACACCACCCTCTACTATCCCTAAGCACATCTCTTACCTTATCCCACACCCACCACTCCCCCTCTATCCATATCTCTTCCTGCCTTATTCGTACCCTCTCCTCTTGCCTTCCATGCAACTTGATTTACCCTCCATTTTCTTCCCATGTCAAATCTTTCTCTATCCAAGTACTTTTGTCTCTCAATTCCCACTTATTTCTCATTATTCTTAATTTCTCTTCTTCACTTCCTACTCTTACTACTGCCATACCTCTCTTCTCTCTCCTTCCCGCATCTATTTTTCTAATCTCCTCTATCTTAACCTCTAAGCCTATCTTTTTCATCACCTCCTCTACTTCCCCCTTTATTCCTCCCGTATCCTTTTTCACTCTTTTTATCAAAATATTTCTCTTTCTTTCTCCCCTCTCCTTCACTTTACACCTCCTTTCCAGCTTTTCCACCCTTTTCTTCTAATCAGACTTCTACCTCCCCCCTCCCTTTTTCCTCCTCCGCTTCCTTCTCACCTTTTCCTCCATCACCAACTTCTCCCTTTAACTCTATTTGCATCCCCTCCAATTTTCCTTCCAAATCTTCTATTCTATTCTTAAACTCTTCTCTCTCCCTTCTCCATTTCTTCTCTCTCTCCTTTAGTTCGTTCCTTATCTTTTCAACTTCTTCCACCATTGCCTTCTTTTGCCCCTTCGCCACCTCTCTTAATTCCTCTCTCACTCCCCTTAACCCCTCCCTCAGCTCCTATCCTAATTCTCTCAACAACCCTTTTATATCTATATTCCCCCCCCCCTGGTGGCGTTCCCACTATCTTCTTGCTTTTCTTGAAAAGGTCCTCGCTCCCTTTCCCAAACGCTCCTTCTTCCTTCTCCTATCCCTCTTTCTCTTGAAAAGCTCGTCTATATTCCCCGTACTGCTTCCCCGCGCAACTCTTTCCCCAATTCTACGGCCGTACTGCTTCCCCGTGTTATTCCCGAACTCCCCAGAATTCCCTAGCTCTTTACCCTAGCGCTCTATACTCTTTACCTTCTGGCCCTTCTACGTCTGTCTCTCTAACCTCAACCTTCCTGTTTCTCTTCAGCCTCCACGGGCTCTCTCTCTTCTTCCACTCTCACACCTTCCCTCTCCCACACTGTGCTCGCCCCTCGCTTACCACACACTCTCTCTCGCTCTACCTCTCACACTCGCACTCCGTTATTCGCTTACAAAATCTGTCGTCTCACATCTAACCAATCGGAAACGGAAGTCCCACATTTATTATTCCATTATCCCTCCTTTTCTTTTCCTTCTTCTGTTCTTTCTAACTCTTCACTATCTCATCTTCTATCCTTCCACTTAAAATCTCCTTAAGGCTCCTGGATGGTCAGCCGAGAACTCTGCGTTGACGGTGGCGCCGCCACTCTCTCCTCTCACTCTCTCCAATGGAGAATTCTGTCTTGTGACATGTTGACAACCTATTTTGTCGTGCTTGCTATTTCTTTATTACTCGCTCTGTGCTTGTGCTCTAACGTTTAACGTATTCGTGAAAATCGTAAAATTGACCAAAAAGTAAGATTTGCATGCGGAAGTAACGTTTTCACCTCCTTTCGATAGTCGTTAAACGGCTGTTTTTCCCGTATGTTTAGGCTTTGTTTTATGGCTATTTGTTTATTGTCGAGGGAAAAGGGTAGTTTTCGGTCAATTTCGGAAGTGTTCTAAAACGATCTATAGTGATGTTTTATTGAAATGTCTCTTTATTTGAAAATGGTACGCACGACAAAATTGGGTGTTTTCCTCGCCTCAATAGTGAGAATTCAATATGGCCGCGGTGACCATCCAGGAGCCTTAAGGCCTTCATACATAAAATGCCGCAAGGACGTAAAACGTAAGCGTAAGAAAATCGATCAATCCCAATCGAGTATTTTCCCCTGGGATTACGGTCAGCACAATAAGTACTTGATTGGGATTGGTCGATTTTCATACGCTTACGTTTTACGACCTTACGCGATTTTATGTGTGAAGGCCTTTACACTTTCAATGTTTCCCACCGCCATCCTTCTTATTTCTTCCACCCCTATAATTTCGCCTATTTTTTCTATTTATTTACTAAAAGATAATCTATTAGTACAATCTTACCTTCCCTTTTGTATGTCCACTTTTTTTCTCTCATTTCCCGTCACATTCCGTTAAATAAATTATTATTATTTTTAGATAATTTAATTAATTTATGTAATTAAATCAAATCGATTTAATTCCGGAGAGTTCCAGTTTTAATGTTCCAACAATAGCTGTGTTTCAAGTCCGACAAAAAATCGGTGCGCAGTTAAATAAGTTGAAAAAATATCCATCAACCCCCCGACATCCCACTTTCTTATCCTTTCTCAAACCCTTCCTGTTTTAACTTCACTCCCGCTACATTCCAAAAGCCTATCTTGAGGCTTCTTTCCTGTTCCTTCCCCTCCTCCTTTCTCCTGCATTTTTTTCTTCCCTTTCACCCTCTTTTTCCTCTCTTTCACTCCTTTTTACTTTCCACACTCTACTCTCTCTAACTTCTTTCCCCCTTCCCTCAGCCTCACCACTCTCTCTTCCTCCCTACTCTCCCTCTTCTCTCCGCCCCCCCTCCCATCGTTTCTCCTCCCTCCTCATTACCTTTCAATTTCATTTTTCTGTCTTCTTCTCTTCTACTCTTTCCCTTCTTCTCTGTTTTTCTTTTTCCCCCTCTTTTTTTTTACTCCTCTCTCTCATTTCCCCTTCCATCTATCAGGACTTTTTTTCCTCATTCCAACTCCACCACTTCCCCTCTATCCAAATCTTTCCGTACTTTGCCCAATCTCTCCTCCTATTCCTTCTCTCCTTCTCAGCTATCCTCTCCAGGCTCCATTGCATTTTTCTTTGATCTTTCCTTCAAGGTCATGTCATTCTCTATTCTTTTCATCCTCCCTTTTAACACATTCTTCTTCTGCATACCTCTCTTTTTCTTACTCTATCTTTTAATCTAACTAAAACCATATTCTCTTTCCCCGTCTTCCTTTCTATCTCTTTTACCTCCTTTATTCCTCCTTCCTCACCCATCTCTAGCCATAGCTTCTCTACTGCTTTCTTTCGCCTTCTCTCCTCTACCTACACCATTTTCATTACTACACTCCTCCTACTGTCTCTCTCTTCTAACTCTCTCTACCTTTCTAGCTCTCTTACCTTCGCTTTCATTACTTTATCTCTTTTTCCTATCTCCCACTTTCCTTTCTCTTCCACTTTTCCCTGCCCTTCCTTCCTCCCATCCCTCCATCTCTTAACTAATAAATTTATATATTAGTTAACTTCTTTATATACGATGAACATGATTCATGTGTTTTATACAGAAATAAATACATTTGCTGTTATAAACACTTTCAACATTTGCATGTATTGCATTTTTATATATTATTTATTATATATTATATATTATATATATATATTTTATATATTATATATTATATATTATATATTATATATATAAAAATGCGATGCATGCAAGTGAAATGTTTATAACAATAAGTGCATTCATTTTTGTGCAAAACACGTATCATGATGTTCATCCTTTACAGAGAAATCAACGAATCTGTTATATTGAAATTAATGAGCGGTAGTGTATATAAAGAAGTTAACTAATATATAAATTTAAATATGTAACCAATATAATAAATATTTTTATAATATATTATACTTTTCTCTATATTGTTTCTTCTCTTGTCCTTTTTTCTTCTTCTTCTATCTCTATATCTTTCTCTCGTCTTAAAATACTTTTTATTTTTTTATAAACAGCTTAAGGTATCGATACAATAAATAATTCTATAAAAGCTACATTTGGATGGTACGGTAATAATTTACACATCCTACCTTTATAATTATGTTAAAATCATAATAGCGTAATGAAAACGATTCATAGGAATAAATGTGTTTAAGAAATATTACTTTAATGATTATATTATCTTACGCGTTATTAACATTTCATACAGGCGAAGCAAATAGATGCTATGATATACAGGATACCTTTAAGCAATTGTTTCATTTTCTAACATTTTTCAGATATACTGTAATATAATCGTATATAATCGTATAATCTTCATATTTTTTTTTACACAGGAAAACTAACGCAAAATTATTCGGACATTGTCACTACTAAAATTAAAAAATCAGATGATATGTACACCTTTTTAATTCACATATCTCTCATTTACTACCGATCACCATTTCATAACGATACATTTGCAACGAAATAGATACGCCAGTACCCAAAACTATATCAGCAATCTAAACACAAGTTTTTATATTTTGGAAACGGTAGCATTTTAAGATGACAAGTGTCTTAAAATGCTTTTTACTTGTTTCTAAGCAGCATAAAATATCGATACTATCCGAATAGTATAAAAGCTACATTTGGATGGAACAATAACAATTTAGGCACCCTACCTCTATAATTATTTTAAAATCTGATATACTGTAATATAATCGTCATATTTTTTTTACACAGAAATACTAACGCAAATTATTCGGACATTGTCACTAAAAATTAGATGAAGATAGTTTGTAATCATACAAAGATACTGTTTAGGTAATGTAGACATCTTTTTAATTCACAACATATCTTTCATTTACTACCGATCATCATTTCATAATGATGCATTTGCAACGAAATAGATACGTCAGCAACATTCGAGACCATCGACTGGAAAAACCATTCCTTTTTGTCTATTCGTTGTGACGGATAAAATCGTATAATTTCAGCACTCGGCAGTGGATTCACTTCAATTGATGCGATTTTAAGACAGAGCTCAATTCAAAGAATCTTCGTTGTTACTAAATATGCTTACAAGGCCTGTGAATAGCGCTAATTTCCCTGCCATGCGCATATCTTTTTTTTTTCGTGGCTGTATCCAGATTAGACATCATCTTGTCCGCAATATGCTTATAGGGTTTTCCATTCAACATTAACGTAAAAAATAACAAGTCGTCGTACCATCTGAAATCGTTATATATAATTGTCTTAGTATTATAATCAATTTTATAATAAGTGTTTCCTCTTCGATAGCATAAACAAAATTAATTTTAGGAAATCTACATTATTTTATCTTTTTCTGAAGGTAGAATAAAAAACAAAACTAAAAATCAAGTTCTTTTCAAATAATAGACAACTTGAATTAATTATAATTGATGTTTATAAGAACAATTTTATATTACTATTAAAAGGAATGTTTAGAGCACTGATTACACTTACATTTCCTGGTTTAGCGCTTATTGTGGCATGTTGTATTTTCCAAATTTTACTTCCAAAACATAGAAAATACTTTCCAGCCTGTATGACACCACGTATACGCCAACGAACCTGCATGGTATATTTTCAGAATGCATTGTGATCTTTAGGATGTCAAGCTTGACGTGTGCAAACTTCATATGACCAATGAACCTTAACAGTATCAATTGCTTCGCATAACTCACAAGTCCCCTGCAATATTTTTTAAGCATATTATGAGAAAATGGAAATACTTAATGCTAAAAACTCTCAATTGCTTTAAATACTTAATAAAATTAATTCTTGTTACTTCTCTAATATTGTTGATAAAATCTATATCATAATAATGGATAATAGGAACTCAATTCACAAATATTTTAGCATAACTTACCTACAATATAAATTGTGCTACAGAACGCTTTCTCGTTCTTTTCAACTTTTACAATTTACAAGACAGCATATACATACATACATGTGCAATTTTGGATACACTTTCCTTCTTAAAGATCTCTTTGGTATCAGCTCCCTGCGGTCAATATATAGCGGCAAAATTGTATACCATATAGTTGAATATAAAATGGTCCTGCGTGAAAAAACGAGAGAAAAGGAGGACATTTATAAGAGGACCTCTTGTGCTAGACAATTATTCCTCAACAGTGTCAGAGAATTATTATATTTTGAAGACGCGAGATTGTACATTTGAAGCATCCAAGTTAACGAAAGTAAAGTACAATAACATTCTTCGGAGAAATCTTTATTACGCGATAGTGCCCGATAATGCCTGTCACACGTGCATATAAATACAGATCATTTTCTTGTTCTCTTAACTTTTACAACTTTTACAAGACAGCATATATACGTACGTGTGCGATTTTGGATATACCTTTCTTCTTAAAGATCTCCTCGGCATCAGCTCCCTGCCGTCAATATATATATTTCACTATCACTATCATCTATCACGCGGCGATGGTCACGACTGTCACACTGTCACTATCTATTTTTAGGTTACTGCTGTATTCCTGCATAGATCGGTCTTTCTTAACAGCTTCATGCGTCTGTAATTGAGAAAGAAATCTGATAAGCTCTGTATACCAGCTCAATATAATGCAACATATACACGAATATGTATATACATTTTAGATAAAAAACCGGTCAGTAAACTTTTATAAAACAATACTCTTTGAAATAATACAAGCAATAATAATTTTTATAATTACTTCTCTATATATCTTAAATGTGCATGAATTTTCTTCTAACTATATTTGTAATGTCATCAACTTTTCACGCTTGTTGAATATTTGCATCATGAGCACCAACAGCTAATCCCATCAGATCTTCTCGAACATTAAATTCATCGGTATATCTAAAATAAGGCAAATTTTACATAATGCAAAAACAGTAATTATCACTTACATCTGCTTATATATAAAATATGATTTCAAAGATAAATCTGTATCAAAAATCTATAGTTACTGTAACGTATACCTTAGATTAGATTTGTACGAGCAAGCAATAAATATAACTAACCTCGCGAGACACCACGCGAGCACACGTCATTTCGTTAAAAGATATTTATTTACCAATATTATCCACATATATTATATATAATAGTGGATTATATATAATAAAAAATCCTACTAACCTCGCGAGACACCACGCGAACACACGTCACGTCGCACGATTTAACACACGCGAAACTCGCCAAACTCGCCGCGATCTCGCGATCGCTGTCAATCTCGACTGCGCCAGCCAATCACGCACGCGGAAAAGCGGCAACACTACGTGCGAGATATTCGACTCGCAAAGCTCACTTCTCGGTCCAAATGGATTTTTTTATTATGGATACCTGTTATATTAGATGTTATTGCATTCAGATATTATCTCTATTTATGAGATAAAATAATATTATAATAATCCATTTTGAGAGAGAAATAGAATAATTATATTTCTAAACTATTTACGCTGTTATCAATCTTGATTGATTAATCAACAAAGTGTGTTATCTCTAATTTTAAACGAAATGAAATTGTAATTGAGTGCATTTGTAAGATCTTTCAATGTGTTATTTTAATTTGTCTTTGCATTTACTTCATTCCCTATAGCATTTTCAATATAAGAGTGTAATATGTTGTTAACATGACAGTCGATAACAATTGTTTCCTCGGATATCCTTTGTCTTTTCGTAGCTGCTGGATGGTGCATTATAACTTTAGATATTTACTTTTTTACGTTTGTTGCTTCTTATAATATTTCTGTTATTTGCGTATCTTTATCTCGCGTTGTTTAATTTTTAATTTACAGCTTTCCAGTCGCTAGTTGCACGCTCTCGTGCATAGTATATCATCTCGATACAAGCATATCCGGTTTTCTGATTGTTACCGATGTGCGCTGTCTATGAAGTCTTTTGGATATGTTACTCGAAGTCTCGTGTTTCCTCGTAGCGCGACTCAGATAATTATGTGCTGCATAATTATGCAAGTATCCACCGTTGGGATATGTATTACAGCAATTAGTAATTCAATAACTTGATGATGAATTAATCATTGCGCTAATGCACGTCAAGCTACGATTTATTTGCCATTTCATACACATTTAGATGCATCTTGCGTGTAGCAATATACGCGAATATTGATTGATTAAGTAATAATTAGATCAATGAAAAGGGAGATACATATAGAGCATGCAAAGTGTAGATTATTTCTAAAAATATATCGCGATTTATTGCGAATATTTATTTCATGAAAATAACGAGACTTCTGACACGGCATGAAACACAGTAGCATTATGCAATTTCCACTGCATACATTTACATGTACATGTACATGTATAAATTTTCACGTATAAATTTTATATGTGTTTACTACTATATCATTATATATACATATATCCCATTATTATTTTAGATTTTACCGTGATTTCTCATTTCCGGCATGTCTGGTAAGCAAAATAATTAAAAAAAAATGCAAATATGGGTGTGATTGCAGACAGCAAACTACGGTTATCTGCTAATCTGAAGTACTTTACATTCACAACGGATGAGACGCATTTGTCACTGCTCGCTCGCGCGATTCGGCAGAGTGAAGCGACGCGTATCGATTTGTTCGACGGCCGTGTCTCTTAGACCATCATTAGTCACGCTCGCAACAAGCTGCTCACTTATTCTCGCAATTTCTTTTTGTTGCACGTCGAAAAGAAACACATTCGAGTCAGGCATCGTTAAACGTGATAAATTTAAGCCTTGACAGATGTCATGCGGAGTATTTCTATATATACCCTTTATATCTTTTCTATCAGGAATTTCTTTTTGCCATTCGTGTATTCGAAATGATCTATTAAATTCTTTTTAACTACTTGCGTTAGTAATTTATCAACGACTACGCGCGATAATCCGTTAAAAAAATTTTGCAGATAACCGGTGAGCACTTCTTTATCGACGCTGATCGAGTTCGCCCGCGACTCCAGCATCCCCTTAAGAGTTTATACAAAAGCGCAAGCATTATATGCATATGATGATTATTATGAATAAGATAATTAAAGTCATACTAAAAACTGAAACTATTTATTGCTAATAATTGGCATATTGTTGTTGATTCTATCGCAGAGAAATTATAATGTGCATAACGCAAGCTTTCAAAATAAGGTGGATAATTCTTAGGTGCACAGTTTTGCACTCATAAAGTGCTTTATATTTAAATGTAACTCTCGGATAAAAATTAAAAAATAACAACAATAATTATAAAGTAATTTATATAAATAGGTGTTTTATTAAAACGAGAATAAATTTTATTCTTTAAACAATTTATTTAATAATTCTTATTAAATGGAATAATTAAATCTATCATTCAAGTTTTGTCATTAAAAGATTTAAAAGTAAATTTTAAAATATTGTTAGTTAGTGTTTAAATAACAATATTTCCTCTTTAAACAGACTTTTCAATTAAATGGAATTAATTGTTATTTTAACCGACGCTAACAAATTCACAAAACGAATCGCATGTGCAATAAAACTCATTTATCGAAATAAATTTCAAATATGTATATTGAACGGAATATTCCGTCGTACAATTATTTAATAATATTTTATTAAATGTTTCGTTAAATATTTCGTAGAAGCCAAACTGTCTGATACATATGTCAGACTGCAGGGCGCTATATTTTCTTTCGTGTAGTGAGATTCAAGTCGGCAGCTAGCAATGCGAGATACTTGTATTTCCTGTGTCACCGCGTTCCATCGAAAAACGATTATTTTCTACAAATTATTAGCTTATTGTCAGTTAATAGCTGAGCATGCTCAATTCCCGCAATTAATAACCGTTTACTATCAATTTGTATCAAAGCCAATATTTTATTCAATTTATTTATTCTCATTTTATTTCAGATTTGATAGGCGATGTAAATGAAAAAGTATTGTTTTATCGCGATATTTGTACGGGCGATAAATAAAGGTTTTAATACAGCTGTTAGATTCGAATGTATTTTGCATCTAACTTTTTTTAATAGTTTAAAGCTAGATATTTTAACAAATTTATTTAATACATTAAACAAATACTTCTTGTGTTGAGATTGAATACACGATGTCTTTCCCAACATGATGTCGTTAAATTCTATAAACACAAATCAAGCTTGAATAAAACAAAAGTATCTTTATCTAGAACGGTAGTCGAAAGTTTATCGCGAATATAAAAGGACGTATTTGATGAAGCGTTGACTGACAACGGTTCTTTATGACACTTGACGAGAGACAATAAAATTTAATGACTGGCTAGTGGTTGTCGTAAAAGTGAAAAATCACACTAGATTATTAACTGTTTATACCTACTCTTGGCGATTTTTATAGCGATAATATTAGATTTTCTTAAGTTGCTGTCATCGATAGTAACTAGATATGATTTAAAATTTGAACTGTCGATAAATAATTTTTGCTATTTAAGTATGCTATTTAATTTTTGCTATTTGCTATTAAGTAAAGTAATTTGATCAATTTTTTCATATACTTATTGCAACAAAAGTCATGGAAAATCTCAGAAAATGCACCGTTATAAATTTGAGTAATTAAAAAAATACAATCAGTTATTTTGACTGGTTTAGTAGTTCTAATGTTTATAATAATTTTAATATCTACAATATCAGCCACGTGAATATGTTTATGAAGACACTGCATTATTTCTGCAATGGATTTTGTTACTTTAAGTTAACTTTATTCAACGATATAAAGGCACAATCATTTGTGAAAAAAAAAATATATATAAAATATTTAACGATTTGTACATGTGCATCTTGTTAATTACTATATTATTGCAGATTTGGGTGAGTGCGAGAGAGAATCGGTAATTATCGAACAATCTCAGTCCCGGCGATCGTAGGCGCAATTGTCGTCGTCACAGACGTAGGCAATCTCCTCAACAGTCTGTCGATGGAGGTGGCGTCATGCCTACCAAGTATTTACAGAAATGTGATGAAAGACCAAACGCTTCCAGCACACAGACAGCGCGGACAGTAATACGATTCGGTTAGTTAAATTGTATTAGTCAATTACATTTTTATAAATATCTAATAAATCTAACTTAAATATTTAAGTGACTTTTTTAATTAATTGCTTACGAAATCGTTGATACGTAAGGAATTGTATACGTACGTTATATATAATATAATGTACTAGATTTTTCAGTATCTAGATTAACAAATTATTCATATTTTAGCCTTTGCGTATTACGAGAATAATAAAACGCGTCTTGCGTCGTAGTCTTCTTTTATCGTAGAGAACATCTTGAGGCTCCGAGAAACTTCACGAAAAGAAGCGAGAGATCGAGAGTAGTTTCGAAGCCAAGATTCAACTGACAGGTCTCACACGACGCGATACAAAAACGATGCGGACGGTGTTGTTGTTGATACGCAACGGCAAAACGTCCGTGGTCCGTACAACGACTGTTACGCGTGAACGGTACCGGCTGTACTACGAAAGGGTGGGATATCGCGGCGAGAACCCGAATGGTACGTCGACAGACTCCCGCGAACGTTGTATATACATTTGATATGTAAAAAGCTCTTGGAGACGTAAATCGTTAGTATACAGTTATAGGACGTATTACGTACAGTTGGCGTGGTACACCTGTGTGCGCGTTGCGGTGTAAGCTCTGCAAACACTCAAACCCAGCTCTCGTGCTCTACGGTTTCATCGATTTTCCCGCCAAGATCTGGCGTGACCTTGCTTATCATGGTATAAGGATCTTTATACGCTCATTGTAAGTACAAATGTTAAACATATTTTCAAATCTTTGATGTAAATTATTCATTTGCATCGATACGCGTGAGATCGTGCGGTTCGTCCTGCTTGACTTGCCGTATCTTGGTCCGTTCACATTTCACTTTAACCTCTGTCGCAAACGAGTCTTGGTGAAGAAATAAATTAATTCAATAATTATTTCAATCAGATTCTATTATACATAATGTGTATAAAGCAGAAATTTTTATCTCTATATATTCAGTTCCTTGGCCAAAAATTGGGCATCCAAGTATCGCGTATTCATCGGTCGTGTGTTTTATTTTTTTTTTCATCTTACCAATACATTTATTCTTTTTGCGTTGCAATAAATCAGACGAGTCAGATTCTCGGATAACTGGAAAAAGGAAAAAAAAGTATTTCATCACTTTTTTCTCAACATGTGTTTGCGAAGCGATCAAACTGGAAAATTAATCTTATAAAATTGGTTTTTTACAGATGGAGCAGGAGCAGCATCAGCAGGAGCAGGAGCAGGAGCAGCAGCAGCAGGAGCAGGAGCAAGAGCAGGAGCAGGATCAACAACGAGAAAATTCAATCTCAAATCGAAAAAGCCCAAGCTCAATACGCAGTGAAGAGATTTGCCCTTGGTGTGGCATAGAATTGAGCGAATATAGCGACAGTGATAGTACGAGAATGATCGGTGCTAAGAGATGCTCTTCGTGCCATGACCAAGGTAAGAACAGCAGCATGTTTGGAGCATCGAGGATTGTGCGACGTTACACGCTTCGTTGCATACGTACGGATATACATATACACGCTAGAATATAAACTTTATCGGTAAGCGCACATATTGTGTGATTTGAAATAATTTAAAAAAATTTTTTTTACACAGAAATGCAAGCAGAAATGCTGAGTATTAGCAGCGCGTCAACGTTGACGTATTATGATGAGGATTTTCTATCGTCGGACTCGAGGACAAAGGACAATGATGATGATGCGTGAGTATTTAACGACGTACACGCTCGCACTTTTGTGTGTGTAGGCACGCATATATATATGTTTACGCGCAAAGATGTTTTGCATGTGCGTGTATAGATGCATGAATAATTAATTTGTGGTATATTTTCACAGAAGTCCAGACAAAGATGCAGATGCGGAGCGGCCGATCCGTTCAATATCCGTCTCTTCCCAACCAGAGACCGTCATCGATATGTCGTCGTCACTGCCGTTGCCGTCTAATGAATTATCGGGGCCATGTTTTCCGGCGAAACGTCGTTGTCGTCGTCGGTAAGTGAGATCAATTCCAAAGATTATGATATTTGATATCGTTTTAGGGTTTTTTTTTTCCAAATATGTACGTTGCCTACAATTTAATTTCAGGACTGAATAAATACATCTATTTTTGATTCCTTGATCGACACAAGTACGCGAGGAAGGCTGAAAAACCGCGATTAAAAAGACAGCTTCGTTTTCACGAAAGATCACGGAAGAAAACCAAGAAGAAGAAGACATGGAGAGATGAGCGAGTGATTATTGTTTCAAGACAAATCATCTTTTGCATTTTTCATAAAGATATCGCGTAAAATTTAGACTAATTATTAATAGACTAGTTAATTTTGCAAACGTGATACATGTTTATCGCCGACGAGTTGCATTCATTATTTTGCGCAAGTACGCGCGTCACGATATATAACAATTTTTATTTGATATGTGCGGAACACCTCTGTTTTTCGTTTCCTTGTATTGAACAAATTTTACGTATTTGCGCAAACGTGCGTTCTAAAGGATTTATATATACGTATACATGTACGAATATTTCCAAAGGGAACGGAATATTTAAAACGCGAATCTTTATCAACGTTATATTTACAGTATTTTGAACGACGATTTATTTTGATATATATATGTATATTACTACTAGATACGTGTGGAAAGATTTGTAACGTTGTGTTGACGTTCAACGCACGCTTTCTTTCTCTCGTACAGATATATTCTTTATAACGTGCAGTGTACGACGGTTTTATACCGTTCGCCACGTTATCTCAAATTCTTGACGCTACGGTAAAAATGTGAAATGAAATGTATTTCAATAGAAGGAACACGCAACTAGTCTTGTATTTTGATTTCACAAATTTTTCGTCACTTGTACCGAATGACATAAAATTGATCAATTGAACAAGTAAATAAGACGTTATTTAACTTAAAAATATTAAGGTAGCTTTTTACAGAAAACTTTTTTTACGTTATGTTGTGACATACGAGGATCCACGGCAAGAGTATCATTTTTTTTCCAAATATTATGATATTCGATATCGTTTCATTTATTTTTTCAAACGCGTACGTTGCCTATAATTTAATTTAACGATTGTATAAATACACCTACAAAAATGTACAACACAAATGCGCAACACGTATAGCAATATATTATATTGCGCCATACCTTCTTGTGTTTGGATACGAGTGCCTCGGAAGAGTAAAAAATTTGTATATTTTCATAATTTTACATTACAAGCGTATGTGTGTTGTGCACAATAGAAATAAATTGACATAGATGATGATGTGTTTGTGTTGAAAATATTGTAGACACTCAAAACGTAGAGGAGAAAGAAAAAGAGAGAGAGAGAGAGAGAGAGAGAGAGAGAGAGAGAGAGAGAGAGAGAAAAAGAGAGAGCTACATCCCTTATAGAAATTTATACTGTGATTTTTTGGCTAGTGATTAATCATTTAAAAGCACTACTAAAAATACTATTAACAGTGCTTTTAATAGTGCTTGTGAGTGATTAATTACTTTGAAATATTTTACTTAATTCAGCACTACATACACATCTAGCTTTATTTTAAAATGTAAAATTTCAATGTTTCAAATATATTGTTACAATCATAAATTATTTCCTCAAGTTAATTTATCTTTCTTGTCCTTAAACACGCTACGTGATAGAAAACAGAAAGATTTCGTTTTTCAGAAAAAGTTTATTATAAAGTATAACTTAGTTAAGTACATATTCAACACTATATACGTGAACAATCTTTGTAATAACTACAGACGCGACTGAGACGTGCCAACGTAAAAAGAATTGTGAACACGTTTACGAGAGTACCCTGCAAATGGAAAAAGGCTCTTCAGGGCGATCCGCACGTGAGAGTGTTAGTAAAAGTTACGGGGTGCAAGGGGGCTTACATGCGTGAGCGCACGTGAACAGAAAGGCTTTTCTCCCCTGCACCCTCCCCCATGCATGTACTTTATAATTTCGTTTTACAACTTAGCATGTACTTTATGTTGTAAAGCGAGGTCCACGCTGCCTACCGACGGGGTGGGTGCGGGGGAGGGGAAGGGCCGAAGGCCCCCCCTCGCACCCCGTGTGTGTGTGTGTGTGTGTGCGCTTCCCACGCATAATTAAACTAATAAAACTCCCAGCGTGAGACCTAACTGCTTGAATTGAGATGCTTGGTTATTCTGCACGATTGATTCATTTAAAATTGGCGCAGTTTTACATGCACGTGCGACCACTGAGCATGCGCATGTGGCCGCAGGGCACGTTCAGTGTTGCTACATGTCGTCGGTATGACAGGAATCATAACTTGATTCCTGTCAACTTTAACGATTAATATCTCGCGTCGCGGGGCAGAGCGACACTTTTTTCTGCCAGATTCTTTCGTTTCGTGCAAAAACGCGTCGATTGAGCCTAAGTTCATCAAAATCGGAGGTGAGGGGTGTAAACTGAATAATTACCCAACAGAAGATGTTTTTTGCGTCTTATGATCACATCTGATCCATATATATATATCTAGTTTGCAAAAGTCTGCCACAAAAAGAATTAAAAACTATCACCAGTTGCCGTACAATTATTGATTCCACCATACATACAAGCTGCAGAAAAAAAACAAACGCAATGTCTAACAAACTCTGACATGTCTGATGAAAATTCAGATACTGACGAAGATGGGTGTGTGAAGTTCGCACCCCTACTTTTTGTAAAATTCGTAATTTATTGCATATCCCCGCAGGGTTCGCAATCTACTACCAATACTATCCTTCTCCTCTCACTTTAACCCTTTGGACCAACGGCTTAACGTCTATTTCCGAAAGACGGAGCCTAGTTTTCTCCACACAAAAGCCTATCTTGCACGGAGGGGCGCAGCTATCGGAAAAACATTCCATGCTTCATGGCTCTAGTGGACTCGAACCTGGTCCCTCAGATTACGAGTCTGGCGATCTACCACTAGACCACACTGCCGCCCTGCACCCCTACTTTAATATTTTTTAGTTCTGATTAGAGTACCAGCTTCTTTTCAAAGAGTATAAGAGTATTTTTATGTTTATAAAAAGAGATCCGGCGATTAACTCTTTGAAAAATGATATAAAGAAGAACGTCAGTAATCATTCCATGGTTAGCTGTCACAGAATGTCATATGGACACGACTTCGACTGGAATAAACCACTAATCTTACATAAGGAAAAACAGACTAAGAAGAGGGAAATAGCAGAAATGTTTTTTATAAAAAAAATTCAACGATAATATAAATTTACAAAGAGACACAGAGAAGCTCAACGCTCTCTACGAACGTATTATAGAAAAGACATAATTTCCCATTTCTTACTCTGTTCCCCCTTCTTGATCGCTTTGAGCGGTACTGTTTTGTTGTTATCCGTGTCCGCACATTAACAGTAACATCGCCGACTCGACAAGTTCTTTACGAACGATCGAATATGCCGTGTCAACGGTCTTCTATATATTTTAATTATCAACGAACAAATTATGTAAGCACTTTATTTTTATTAATTGTGAACTATATATGTTACATGTCGTAATACTTTTTATCATTAGTTTTTAGATGTGGCGTAGCAGGCATTGTGCCTAACTAATTAATAGTTTGTACTCGTAACGCTTGAAAAGGACCTAAACCCGAGGTCGAAACGTAGCGTGCTATTTAATAAAGTTGGCCAGTTGGGTTGAATAAAATACACCTAAGTGAATTCTTTTCACTTACTGGCGAGATAATTTTCTCTCTCAATTTGCTGTTTTCTTTGAAAAAGGCAATTAAAAAATGGAATGCTAACTTCACACCCAACTTTAAGACCGAATAGTTCTGAATAGCTCATCTGAAGCATTTTGGACGAATACTAGAGTTCCTAATAAAAGAAAATTTTTTTATTTTTTTTTAACAAAAAAAGTTTAATTTAAAGTCAAAATAGTTCTAAGTAGTTCATTTGATTCCCTTCGAAAAGTTCTAGAGTTCTTGATAAGTAAAAAACTGCAAAACCTTAGAATTGTTTTAAAAAATCATCATCAAAACGCAAATGACATTCACGGCAGACCTTCAAAATCGAATATCTTCTTAAAACTCCCATCAAAACGCCTGCAACTCTACCACTAACTAGTGACGATCCGGCCACTAATTAAGAATTCAAAGATATTCGAAGATGCAACGGATGAAATTCGACTAAGCCCTGTTTCACACGTATCCGACACTGGACTACCGGGTATCCGATCGCGAAGTATATGGATTAATATGGGAGCATTTACACGTTTGTCCGATAGCCGATTTGTGAAAACAAAGAAAATCGATCGGATACCCGGCATCGGTAGTCCGGTGCCGGATACCTACGTGTGAAATAAGTTTAAATCTTTCTGTCCGTAAACGGTACGAACACGGCACGGTTATGTCTAAATCGATCTTAAATCGGAGATATATTCACGGAAAGAGTTCGTTATACGAGTAATATTGATATAAATCTCGCAGCATCGATATGTACGCGTATAATCGATTAAAGGTGCGACGATAAGATTATCGTAAACAATATCAACGAATAAAATGCATAATTTAATGCATCGAGTACATTCATGGCGTATTAATAAGTTGAAGAAATTTACGTGCAATGTGCGTAACTTTCTTTCATTTAAAAAGTATAATTTTATGAAATCATAAGAAATTCTTTTTCTATACGGTTAATTCACTGCAAATCCAAGTGTGTTATTTTTACTAAGGCTCTTCTTACACATTTCTTGTCGTTTTGAATAAAGCCATTTAACACAGTTGAACATATTTTGGGAAGGGCGAGTAAGAATATGTTGAGTGCAGTACAATACAGTCTTTAATCTCCGATATGGTCGTTACATTCTAAGTCGTACCGCTCGCGATATATTCTAAGTCCCGCGATAGCTCGCTCACGCGGATACGTCTACCCTCTAACGAGTCGCCGAGTCGAATCGTCGTCTCTCCGTTCCCGGGCTCTCGCGATCGTTTTTCTCCTCTCCGGACTTCGTGTCCTTCGAGGAGACGCTCGTCACATTTCGGTCGATTTGTGTTATTGTTTGAGACATGCCTGTAACATTCTCGCTTACCGTTACCTGAGTTTATGTTTTCCCTATCTAACGTCTTTCCTTATTTTTCGACCTCGCTACTTATTTTCGATTCGAGCTATTGCGGCGGCCAAGTACATAGCGATATAATCGCCACAATATTAATATGATTAAACATGTTGATTTAAGGCTCCTGCTGGCTCGCGAGCCAACTCCGCGTTTTCGCACAAACAGCGTCACACTTGGCAAAAAATGACACGTCAAAGCTAATTTATCCTTGCGATTTACAGCGTTATTCTTCATTTTAATGCAGTGTCACATTTAAAATTATTGTGATAGTGTTAAAATACACCGAAGATATCCACTTTATCGTGATTTAATATGTGCAAGCAAATACTTATTTCAATTCGGCAGCTGTCAAACGGCTTGTTTTCGCTCTTGATTAGGCAACATTCACTTCGACAAATGTGGATTACTATATAAAACGGGATGTTTCGGTGTATTTTACAAATCTATTTTATCGTTTACACAGGTGGTATTTTATCAAAAAGCATTTTTATTTTAGTGTAAATCGCAAGAATTTTCATGATATGTTTTCATGACTTTCTCGCTTCTGACGTCATCAATCCAAGATGGCTACAGTGAGTGAACAGGAGCCTTAACACGCAACAAAACATGTAAAACAAGCTTCAGTCAAATCTGTCATTTTTAAACGTATATGGGTGTAGAAATAACACACTTAGACTTACAGTATCTGATAAAACGGCTTGCAATTACAATTAATTACAAAGTATTCTATACATATAGTCATTAGACTATATACTCTATTTAAATAAAAAGTGGTATAGTTACTATAATTGTCCCTACGCTATTAAATATCAAAAGATAAAATTTAAACCAATACCTTGAGTTAAATAACATTTTGTTCTTTTTAATTACCATGTGTCGAAATTTATTATTTTATAACACAAATGATGTTATTTTAACTCCATTGACTAGTCAAATTAATAATTAAATTAACATTGTTTTAGTTAA